TCCTATCAAATACATGCTTGCTGGCCCTTTTTTGTTTTGGAGTTTTTTTGTGGGTCATTATCAATTACAAGATTTGGTATATATATCAAAAGCAGATGGTCCTGAGGACATGGGTCCCAATACACTTCCTGATTCCATTGTAATGCACATTCCAGCTGCACCCAGTGGACCTTCCCTGAGATTCTTAAAGTTGGTGAGACCTTCCCCAAGGTAGACAAGTGAAGACCTAAAGACTGGAGTCAGGGTGGAACAACGGGTGTTTAAAATGGGCAGTTTCTGTCTAGAGGTCAGGACAGCTAATACTCATTTCTGGAGCCTCACTCAGAGAACCCTATTAGACACTTCACAGAATGTGTGCAGAATTTTCTTTAGATTGTATGGGAAATCCCTTAATCTCTTGATTCTAAGACAGACAAAACAAAAGAGGAGGCTGAAATGATAGTGGCCAAGCCTTTGGATTCAAGTGTCGCAATCAGTATCAACTACCTGAGAGAAGGCAGGCGCATTGGAGCACTACACGTGCAGAAGTATATGCCTCTTCTGCATGGGGCTGTGCCTGTGCCTGTGCTAAGGTCTTAGCCCGTCAAAACCAAGGAGCATACCTGAGAGTCTAATACCTCATGTCACAAATAGCACAAACCGAACACCAGAAAGACCAGGGCTGTTGCATTCTGCAATCAGCCCTCACAGCTTGCTTAGGAACTATGTTGTAGTCTGTGAGAAACAGGAGAGTCACCGCAGGTGAGCCTCAGGCCAGAGCACAGCCTGATTCCATCTGCAATGCCTCAGCTGTCTGCAGAGGGGAGGAGCCAAGGTTCCCTGTCTGGTTATGCCCACAGACATCTTAAAAATCTGCTTCCGGCAACAGACGTAAGGTTTTGTGCTGTTTACTACCAGAACCTTCTCACCAAGCTCAAATGGGCTTCTTAACTACTAACTAATGAGTTTGGGACGTGTTAGAATTACGGAGTAGTGCCCAGCAGATAGCTGGCCTTCCAAATGTATGAACGAACCTCCTTTAGACATAGATAATTCTTTTTTTTGTATTGTTGCTTGAGACAAGTTTCAACTCTGTGCCTCAGGCTAGAGTGCCCATGTCACCATTAGCCACCGCAACCCAAACTCTGGCTCAGGCAACCCTTCCTGCCTCAGCCTCCTGGATACTAGGACACAAGCCAGCACCACCATGCCCAGCTAATTTTTCTACATATATTTTACGTGGCCAGTTAATTCTTCCTATTTTGTTTTTATTTTTATGAGACAGGAGTTCGCTTTGTTCCCAGCTTGATTGAGTGCCGTGGCTCAGCCTACACTCACAGCACCTCACACTCCGGCTCAAGCAATCCTGCGCCTCAAGCCTCCAAGTACTGACACAGCATTCGCCACCATAGCCTGCTAATTTTTGTCTAATATGGCAATTAATCTTCATTTATAGTAGAGACGGGTCTCAACCTCCTTGCTCAGGCTGTTTGAACATCCGACCACCGAGCAACATCCACCGCTTGGTATCGCCAGAGTGCTAGGATTACAGCGGAATCCAATTCTCATTAGTAGAGATGGGGGTCTTGCTCTTGCTCATGTTCGAACCGAACCTGTACATCTGCCTCCTCAGCCCCCCAGAGTGCTAGATTACAGGCGGAAGCCACTGCGCCCGCCCTACCTTGAGTCTTGAAGGAGAAAACATTAATGTTCATAGAGGTGAGACAAGTTGACAGTAGCAAAAAAGCAGACAGTGGCCATTTTGAAAGGCTTTCTGACAGTTTTATGTGTATCATACCTCAACTAGCGCTTGCAAGTTGCACCCCATTCCACAGCTTCCATTTTTAAAAATCGAAACTAAGAAAAAGAACATTGATTGCAGAGGAACAAAATTGTTGGTTCTGGTCTTACCCAATGCAAAAACTTATCTCTCATAGTCATCCTATCTTGAAAATTATGGAACAAGCAAGAAACAAAAACAAAATAAAAATTTATGAACCTTGTACCTTACTCATTACTGCCCCAAATACAGCTGTTCTTAACGGGCCTACAAAGCTAGCTAGTGAAGATGTACAACAATAAATGTAAACATAATTGATAATTAAAGAAAAGCTGAGCAAGAACGCAAGACCTCTCTACTATATCACTAGAAAGAAATTAATTGGCACTAAATATATAACAAATTAGCCAGGCATGGGCCCATGCCGTCAAAAAAGTCCAGCTCACTCGTGAGGCTGCAGCAAGATTGCTTGACCCAGGAATTAAGTTCTGTGAGCTAGGAACGCCACTGCACTCCTCTACCGGCAAAACAAGTGAGATCTGTCTCAAAAAACAAAAAAAAAAAAATTAAAGAAAATTTCTAATGCAGTGGTTCCCAACAGGGGTGATTTCCCCCTCCTCTCCAAAGGACATCCAGTCCGGAGATATTGGGTCAGTAACTGAAGGGCGTGGTAATCTAGTGAGAGGGATGAGGCGAACATCCTACCAATTACCAGGATGCCCACAAAACAATTCTACTAAAATTCAAATAGTGTAGTGTTCTCAATTCAATGCATGACAAACACCGTCTAATCAGGATGACAAGGAAGAATTGGGGGTTGTTGTGTTTTTTTACATAGTCTCGCTCCCAAGAAGGGAAAATGTTTCAAACGTGTTACAATTTAAAAGAATAACATTAAAGCTTAAACCTTTTGAGGAAGAGCCTTAATCCAGCTTTTCATAATTGGTAATCCTTTAAAAAATATACATATACTCTCTCTAGAAACCTGATGCTAATGCATTCCTGCCAATAGCATTTATAGCTTTCGTTGAAAAACAAGACTGGATAGCAAGTTATTTCCGATTATCTTTTTGGCATTTGTGGGGAGAAAAAAATAAACATTTGGGAAAATTTGTTAGTCATGTTTACCTATGGGCAATAATCCTGAGAGAGAATCAACTACTATTTCAAGAAACTAAGAAATACATACAGGGGTATTGAGTAGGCTCATGAAACTTCTACGAAGGTGTACAGTGGGCGGGGGGGGGGGGCGTGTTCATCAAGTGAAAGATGCTCTACTAACATTCTGCCTTATCTTGTCATGGTATTTTGGCTTCCAAAAGTGACTGTCAAAGAATTACCATCAACACTTCCAGAGATCATCAAGGAGCATGAAGAAATGATGAATTTCTAGTGACGCAGACCCAAAGCAATGGCATCCCATAACTGCTCATTGAGTCGGTGTAGCTGCAACAGCAAGGGCCAGCGCATGTCTCCACCCTGTAATCTAGCACTCAGAGGCCAAGACGGGACACTGGTCAAAGTCAGATCGAAACCCATCCTGAGCAAGAGGAACCATCTCTACCATAAATTACATCAAAGAAATAAGCCAACTAATATATATAAAAAATTACGGCATGGGTCATGCCTGTAGTCCCAGCTATCTCTGGAGCGAGGCACAGATGCTGACCAGGAGTTTGAGGTCGGAGCAGCACCCAACAACACTCACCACCGGGCAACAAGTGAACTCGCTCAAAAAAAAAAAAGAAAGAAAAATCAGCAAAGGAATATTCTGACCTGAAATCACGAACACTAACACATCAATTCTCACAGGAAAGTGCAACATACCAGCCACCCTGAGAAGGCAATTACCCACTGAGTTTTCATTGGATAACACCTGCACCCAGTGTCACCCCTCCAAATCTTGATATTTTTTTCTCTTCTTGTAGAAGTTAGTCAACATATCTCCTCCTACTACTACTTTGCCAGATTAACATATTAATGTGATCTTTTTTGTTATATGCATTCTTTCGAGACAGGTCTCTACTGGTTCCCCTGTCACAAACCCTGCTTGTGACACAGTGCTCATGCCTTGTAACTACACTGGAGCAAGGAAAGGAGCTTGAGGCCTGAAGTTCAAGACCCAGCCCGAGCCACAACGAGACCTCATCACAAAAAAAAGAAAAATGACAGTATTGTGGCAGGCACCGTATCCCAACACCTTCAGGAGGAACCACTGAGCCAGATTGAGTGCAGTGATATATGAGCCACAATTCTTAACAGTTACACATAGCCCTTGTCGCAAAAAAAAAAAAAACCCGAGGAGTGCTCATGCCTGTGCACTCCGAGGCCGACGTGGCAGACATTAGCTCAGGATAAGACCACCGAGCAAAGCAAACCCACCGTCCTACTCAAAATAAGAAAGAAAGTAGCTGAAACAAAATATAATAGAAAAATTAGCCAGGCATTGTGGCTCATCTTAACCCAGCACTGGATCTGAGCCAGAGCATCGTTTGATAAATCGAACTCCTGACCTCTAGCAATCTGCCCACCTAGGCCTCCCAGAGTGCTAGGATATAGGCGTGAGCCACCATGTGGGGCCCTGTGCCTCAGTCCTTTTAACACACTGAGGCAGCATCCAACTCTCCCCTTTTTTGTGAGTTGAGGCTTGTCTCTCTCGTTGGTTGTGTGGTATCACTGGGGCCAGCCAACACTGGGAAAGGAGTTTCTTCCATTTTCTACAGCTGATGTTGTTTCACAGTGACTAATTTCCAGTAAACTGCCTATCCCTGTTTATGTAGCTCATCTGGGTCGAAATCAAGGAGAAGCGTGTATTGGAAATTGCCTTCCCAGTGCATGTAGTTCTTGATTACTGTACTCACATAAAGATTGTGCTCTACCTCCTTTGTCTTTTGCCAGTGTTACCAAAATATTAAATGTGTCCATTCACGTACATCCTTATAGTCACCTAATCGATGTGAGTATTGGAGCTACTGCGCACAAGAACTCTCCATGGGCAGCTAGTTGTCTAGGTCTGAAGGAAGTCTGCCAGTATTGAGCCCCTGTGTTTGAGGAGCCTCCCAGTGAGGCCTTTCCATGCCGAGGCACTGGAGAGAGGTGGCACTAACAGAGAAGTCAGGATTTGTCCCACCTGCCCCTCCTCTGGATGGTGATTGCCTGGTAGAAACACAAAGCAGGAGTGTTTGCATTGGCCTGGGCTTCCCAAAATGTAATAAAGTCTCCATTTGCTTTTAACTTTCAGGTGAAAGTGGGAGATACGTTGGATCTTCTCATCGGAGACAATAAAGAAGCAGAAGCAGAGACAGTGATGCGGATTCTCCTGAAAAAAGTGTCTGAAGAGAAGACTCAAAGTGAAAAATACAGAGTGGTGTTACGACGGTGGAAGAACTTAAAGTTGCCTAAGAAGAGTATGTCTAAATAATTGGATTGCTTTTTAGTGATAATGCTGCTTTCTGGTGGTAGGGGGGCAACTTAAAAAGAGGACATTTTATTAAAATAAAGTTCTCTTACCATTTGTGGAATCTGCTGAGCCATTTTGTGGAAATTGGGATCTATGTCTTGGAGACACTTCACTTGGCCTGGGTTTCCCGCTGGGCTTGATTTGTGCTCCTTTTGACACAATGAGGACATCAGCGTAAGGGCCTTTTGCCCAGTGAGATGTGTGCTGAACTAAGCCCAGAGAGGGTTTAATGACTTGCCTGCTGTTTCCCACATAAACTACCTCAGGATCCATTGTAAAATAAACCAGCCTTGTTGTTTCTTAGTGTTTTTGTTTAAATTTTTTCCCTGTCCGGCCTGGGAGGCCAGCTTCCCTGGGCTCAGGCTTGTTAAGAGAAAACCAAGCAAAGTCAAGGTCCACCCTTCAGACAGTTAGGGGAGAAGCACTGGGACATCCCTTTCCCCCAACTGCCCTTCTGAAAGACCAACTTGGCCTCAGTTCCCTTCAGTTTGTCTTCAGAAGTCTGGATGAGTAAAGTCGTTCCAACTAATTCCAAACAGCTGGGTCGATAAACTAAGGCATCCAGAGGCTTGTTTTGTATGACTCTCAAGCTAAGAATGGTTTTTACATTTTTAAAGGGTTGTTTAAAAAAGAAATAAAGAATATACAACAGAGACTTTCTGTGGCCCACAAAGCCCGAAGTATTTACTATCTGATACTTCACAGAAAAAGGTTGATGACCCCTGATTTAGGAAAATACATACAGATTTTATCAATGAGAAATAAACCGATTATTCTGATTCTCAAGAAAGTGTTATAAAAGGGACTGAAGCCTTAAATTAGTTTGGGGCACACACATAATATACATCATCTAAGAAAGGGCATGTGCATAAATAAGTTGGTCTGTAGGTCCCCAGGAGCTATTTGCTAGCACTTGGAAGGGTCAGCTCCACTAGGAGACTTGTTAGATTGTGTCATGTCAAAAAGACTGGCTGTCTCTGATTTCTTTTATTTGCTCTCCAGGAATTCCTGAGAATCGTTAACTTACATGAAGAGAAACTTCTGTAGACCAAAGCAGTGGGATACTTGGGCCCATGAGCCTGAAAGTCTTTTCACCAGCTCATTTTTTAGAAGCCTTAGGAAAACTGATTTTTATTTTAAAGCTTAGACTCTCAGGAAGAAATAATATATACCATACAGTGTAACAGGGAATTTGTCTATTTTACCACTTGTTAATTTGGCTCTACTGAGTCATCAGTAACAATAGTATGTTTAATTTCTGTATGAGTTAGTCATAAATTTGGGAAATTAAATGTCCATACATTTTCTCCTCCCTCCTGCCTCCACTCACCATTTCTTCTCTCTCTCTCTCTGTCACTGGTGAGGGCAGCACGATCTAGTGATATGTCAGGAGTCCTGGGTTATCAGGCCCAATCCTGCCACATTAGCAAGTTGGGTTACTTTGGTCATAGTTTTACCTTAACCTCTCTGCGCCTCTGTTTCCTCACTGGCCAAATGCAGATCAGGATACCAATTGTTCTACCTTGTGTCTTTGTTTGTTTGTTTGTTTGTTTTTGAGACAGAGTGTCACTCTGTTGCCCAGGCTAGAGTGCCATGGTGTCACCATAGCTCACTGCAACCTCAAACTCCTGGGCTCAGGCAATCCTTCTGCCTCAGCCTCTGGAGTAGCTAGGACTACAGGCATGCACCACCATGCCCAGCTAATTTTTTCTACATATTTTTAGTTGGCCAGTTAATTTCTTTCTATTTTTATTTATTTTTTGAGACAGAGTCTCGCTTTGTTGCCCAGGCTAGATTGAGTGCCGTGGCGTCAGCCTAACTCACAGCAACCTCAAACTCCTGGGCTCAAGCAATCCTGCTGCCTCAGCCTCCAAGTAGCTGGGACTACAGGCATGCGCCACCATGCCCGGCTAATTTTTTCTATATATGTTGGCCAATTAATTTCTTTCTATTTATAGTAGAGACGGGGGTCTCACTCTTGCTCAGGGTAGTTTTGAACTCCTGACCTCGAGCAATCCACCCGCCTCAGTCTCCCAGAGTGCTAGGATTACAGGCATGAGCCAATTTCTTTCTATTTTTAGTAGAGATGGGGGTCTTGCTCTTGCTCATGTTGGTTTCGAACTCCTGACCTTGAGTCATCCGCCTGCCTCAGCCTCCCAGAGTGCTAGGATTACAGGCGTGAGCCACTGCGCCCGGCCTCTACCTTGTGTCTTGAAGGAGAAAACATTAAAGTGTGTTCTAAGAGGTGAGACAAGTTGACAGTAGCTACAAAGCAGGAAGGGCCATTTGAAAGGCTTTTTGAAGTTTTATTGTTATCAGTACCTCAACTTAGCTGCTTGGCAGGGTTTGACCCATTCCAAGCTTCCATTTTTTAAAAATCAGACTAAGAAAAAGACATCTGATGGCAGAGAATGTTGATTTGGTCTTAGCCCATGGCAAAAACTGATCTCTCATAGTCATCTATGCTTGGAACATTTATGGAACAGCAGAAACATAAACAATATATAAAGATTTATGAATCTCTTGTACCTTACTCATTACTTGGCCCAAATGACAGCTGTTTTTTAACGTGGTCCTAGCAAGGTCCTAGCCTCAGTGAAGATGTGATCAACATAATGTAACATAATTAAAGATTAAAGGAAAAGGCTGAGCAAGAGCAAGACCCCGTCTCTACTAGAAGCCAATCCTGCCCGCCTCGGCCTCCCAGAGTGCTAGGATTAAGGCCTGAGCCACTAGAGAGATTATTTTTAACATGCACTCCTTATAATTCTTAATACACAAGCCCCCACAGCCTGCTGCTCCTGCCTTTTGGTAGCTCGCTACACCAACCTATTGCTTGGATATCTTGAAGGTGCTGAAATTGAAGGAAGATTTCTGAGACTGCCTGTTCCTATCAAATACATGCTTGCTGGCCCTTTTTGTTTTGGAGTTTTTTTGTGGGTCATTATCAATTACAAGATTTGGTATATATATCAAAAGCAGATGGTCTGAGGACATGGGTCCCAATACACTTCCTGATTCCAATTGTAATGCACATTCCAGGCTGACCCAGTGGACCTTCCCTGAGATTCTTAAAGTTGGGAGAGACCTTCCCCAAGGTAGACAACCTGAAGGCCTAAAGACTGGAGTCAGTGGAACAACGGGTGTTTAAAATGGGCAGTTCTGTCTAGAGGTCAGGACAGCTAAATACTCATTTCTGGAGCCTCACTCAGAGAACACCTATTAGACACTTCACAGAATGTGTGCAGAATTTTCTTTAGATTGTATGGGAAATCCCTTAATCTCTTGATTCTAAGACAGACAAACAAAAGAGGAGCTGAAATGATAGTGGCCAAGCCTTTGGATTCAAGTGTCGCAATCGTATCAACTACCTGAGAGAAGGCAGGCGCATTGGAGCATACACGTGCAGAAGTATATGCTCTTCTGCATGGCTGTGCTGTGCCTGTGCCTGTGCAAGGTCTTAGCCCGTCAAAACCAGGAGCATACCTGAGAGTCTAATACCTCATGTCACAAATAGCACAAACCGAACACCAGAAAGACCAGGGCTGTTGCATTCTGCAATCAGCCCTCACAGCTTGCTTAGGAACTATGTTGTAGTCTGTGAGAAACAGGAGAGTCACCGCAGGTGAGCCTCAGGCCAGAGCACAGCCTGATTCCATCTGCAATGCCTCAACTGTCTGCAGAGGGGAGGAGCAAGTTCCCTGTTGGTTATGCCCACAGACATCTTAAAAATCTGCTCCGGCAACAGACGTAAGGTTTGTGCTGTTACTACCAGAACCTTCTCACCAAGCTCAAATGGGCTTCTTAACTACTAACTAATGAGTTTGGGACGTGTTAGAATTACGGAGTAGTGCCCAGCAGATAGCTGGCCTTCAAATGTATGAACGAACCTCCTTTAGACATAGATAATTCTTTTTTTTTTTTTTT